GGGGGGGGGCTGAGGGTTGCCCTTTCAGCTCCAGAACGCGTGATGCAGAAATCATATTATATTATATGGATGCAACTTGCAGATGTAGCTTTAGCTTGAACAGTGAAAACGGAAACGTAGAGTTGGGGTTAGCTAGTTGATACTACATGTTTTCTTTTCTTTTCTTTTCTTTTTACGTATTTGATTATACGGAACTACTTGGTGGGTCAATGTGGATAGCAGTGTACATACACGTTTGTTTGTATCTCGACATTTCCCTTCTCTTCCCAAATCCATCATACACCCACCCAATCCACACTTTCCCTTTCCCCCCCCCCTTTTTTTGGCTGTATCTACAAGCTATGTATAACTACATCCATATCCATCCATCCATCCCATTCTCCTCACCCTAAAACACCACCAAACCCAACACTACTCCTCCTCTCCTCGCATCGAAATCTCTATTCCAGCTAAACACAGCATGCAGCGTGTGTGTGTATAACAACAACCAAACTCACAGGGTCCGAACCAACGATTTGGAGCTAGGATTAGGTAGATGGTATAGTAGATGGGTAAAACGGGATTCCACATCTGCGTCTGTACCTGAGACTTCTTCGTTGTGGCCGTATTCGTGAAAGCGTATGCGTATGAGTATAATTACGAGTACAAGTAGAAGAAAGTAAGGATTCACGATAGTCAGAGTCCAAGTCAGTCGGTCGGAGACTGACTCACTCACTCACTTACTTACTCCAAGCCAAGTAAGGGGAAACGAGTCACGGCTGAATGTGATTGATTTGATCGAGACTATAAGACTGACAGATTTTGCTGATAAAACAGTCACATGTATCTAGCTCAGATACTCGTACGCACGCACACGCACGTTCTTCTCGCTATATGTAGAGAAGAAAAAAAGATGCCCGCAATTTCTGATATTCTAGTTGTGAAAGAAAAAAAAATGGGGTTATAACTCAAAGGCGCCCTCCCCCCCTTTTTGGAGTATATGTGATGTGTTAGTATCTCTTTTAGGTGTGCGTGTCGCCAATGAAACCAGTCAAAATATAAAGATTCTTTAGTCCCCCAGGATGAACTTTTCGCAGCACGGGAGAAAGGTGCTGTGTGGGGAGGTCGGGTAGAAACAGAAAAAAAGGAAAAAGCGGGAAACCAAAACGAGAAACTAGGTATACAGATTATTCTTGATAAGCCCCCTCCCGCACATAAACACACTGTTTCACCTGTGGACCGAACATCTTCTACCGCCTAACGGATCCCTTGCTAGCCGCCGCACTAACCAACATCTTGAATCCGTTCTTCAACGCAACCATATCGGGGTAAACATGTTTCTGCAGTTCAAACGCATTGGGTATGACTTTGATGGGCCATGCGCCCTTTGGTCCCTTGGCGCTCATCTGGAAGCAGATCCAGAAGTAACCGGGGTACTTTGGCATGCTGCAGAAGGCGTACCTGGAGCGCGAGGGGTTGGCCTCGCAGTAGTTTTGTAGCCATTTTTCTGCAACAAAGTTAGTATATACGGTAGACAATGAGGAAGTAGACGCACCAGTATCTTCCCGAGTACCGGGTTGGAATCGTTCGTCTCGGGTGAGCTCCATAACCTTGCGTGCCATGGCCTCGACATGGTTGACAATCAATTCATCCAGATCCGAGTATGTGTGCTTTCCAATCTTGAGCTGCTTGCCCAGTGAGAACTGGTTAGGCTTGTTCATCTCAAGCACGTCGAGATGTTGGTAGGCGTTGTTGGAAACCTTCCATGTTACGACCAAATGGTCAAAACCCTTGGAAGAGGGACGAATGACCAAATCACCAGTCTCCTTACCACCAAGATACTCTTCTGCTTGAATCGTGTTGAAAGAGAAGAAGAGAGGATGGTTGACGACACGGTTGGGTCGACCGGTTGCAACTTCCTTTTCTTTCTCGGCAGCCTTCTTGTCCAGCGCTTCCTGTGCTTCGTCCCACTCACCAGCTGCACGGTCGTAAGGCTTCTTCTGCGGTTGCCGGATGAGATCGTCTCGGAGAGACAACTGTGCAGTAAGAGCTTTCCGGTTGAGATAAACGATACGCGCGCGCACAATCTGGTGGCTGGAGTAGACGTGGCGAGGCTCCTGTCCGCCACTGCCAACACCTTCTGGAAACTCTGATTCTGAGACGCCACCTTCGATTCCGCACTCGAGCTTGACCTCAATGTGGTCTAGGAATGTGCGCTTGATGGTAACGGGAACAACCATGCCTTCGTAGAGAGACTCCTTGGTCTCACCAGTCAGCATAGTGAACATCTCGTCACCAGACAAGAGCGCAAAAATCTGTCGGATTTCTTCGTAGGGATTGTCCAGTTCGGCGCGAATCGTCTCGAGGGTCGCACGCTTGCGCTGTCCGAAATTCCTCTCAATCTCCGCTGCGTAATCCTCCAGGGCCAAATCGTTGACCAAATCAGTGGTTTCCTCCCGCACCATTTTCCTGACAACGGCGCTGGGGCCGCCCTCGTCGGTCTCTGCTTTGACATCCTCCTCGTCCATGTTCAATGCATCTGCAACCATTTTCCGCGCAAGATCGTAGTCTTCGGGGTGCACACGGGTGTAGTCGAGGTAATCGGATGACTCTTCAGTCGGGTCGTAGGGGATGTACAGGAAACTGGCACAGTTTTGGAAGACCTTGGGACCCATGGCCGCCTTGAGGTCGCGGGACTCGGACACACCGAGAAGATCGAAACGCGAAAGGATCTCATCGCTGTTGGCTTGGATGGCCTTGACCAGCCTGTCGGCCTTGCGAGGTCCTAGACCGCATACGTAGGGTATCAGTTTCGACAGGTACTTGTCGTCGTACGTCTCTGGCAAGTCGATACCAACGAGGTTGACCATATCAACCATGGCAGTCTCCAGCCGGTCCAAAAGCTTCTCTTGGGGTATCAAGGTCTGGTTCGGTATAAAGGGTATGGAAACAATGTCGCGACCGAGAGAGGCGTACTCGGCGAGTGGGTTTTGCAGATATCTTCCTAGAGCAATGCAGTACCTTGTAAGCGCAGGGTACTTGGGGAACTCTGCCGCTGCACGGGCACTGGTGTGGTATAGACGAGCAACCTCGTCATTAACCATGATCACCTCCAGGGGTTCATTCCTCTCTTCGCCAGTGTCCTCGTCTTCGTATGCAGGACCGGTCAAGCCGCGCTGGCTGATGATCTCTTGAATGTCCTTGTACAACTTGCGGGTTTCAACCGAGAAGCCACTGACACCAATCACATCGGGACGTCGGCGCTGGATGACATCGACCAACTTTTCAATATCTTGGCCTTCGGGAATGCCGCGTTCAGCATTACCCAGGCGCATATCGACTAGTCGACCCTGTTCCAGGACCCGACCGTCATTCTCGACGTAAGCCCACATGATGGCGTCTCCACGCTGGCCCTTGCCGTTGGACAAGCAGAGGACGTTGGGAATTGACCCAAGCGGAGCGCTCTTCAGCTTGTAGGGCGCTTGGTCAAGCTTGTTGTAGTAGTTTTCTCTTGCCGAGGCGGCAAGTTCATCTTCGCACCGGGCGCGCAGAGTCTCCTTGACACCATTTGCAATGACGGTTTGAAGCTTGTCCAGTGCCGTGCTGAGCAGCTCCCTGCGGAGCGCGTTCCATGTGTCGGAAACCTCACTGACACCATCAGAGACAATCTTCTCTTGCATGCGCGTCTTGAAGTTTTGGTAGTTGCCCATGGAAATCTTGACTTGCACGAGGCCTTCCGACTCGGCCTTGAGCATCTTCAGGAAGAGATCCGGCCGACCCTGAAGGTCTGAGAATGTAACCCTGCGCAGATATTTGAACTCATAGTAGGGGTGGTCCTCGGTGATTTTCCGCATGCCCTTGTCGGTGCGAATACAGTCAATCTCGGCATTCTGGTAGAAGCTACCACGCAAGTATCGGCGCAACCGCGAGCACATGAGTAGATCTTGGACGAACAGCAGCTTTGTGGACCGCAAAAGAGTAGCGCCAGTTTCTGGGGCTTCGGCGAGCTGATCGGCAAGCTCCTCAACCCTGAACGGTGGATCTTCAATGGTATGCGCGCTTCGGCTTGTCCCGTCGACCTTCTTCGCAAAGTCTTCAGGCGTAATGCCAACAGCCCTGACAAGTTGATTCGCCTTGCTACTTCGCAGCTTGTCGAAAAAGCTCCGGGCATTGTTGGCACGCTTCTGTGTTCCGTTGACCTCTTGTCGGACTTCGCTAATTTCTTGCGAGTATCGGTAATGCAGGTAGTCTTGGAGCTCTTGGATTTCCTCGATTGTAATGGCCCTGGAGGACAACTCCTCAATTTCAGTGTCGGTGATTTCGGGGTGGATGGTCTTCAAATTCTCATAGTTTAGTCGGAGAGCATCGCGTTTTTCAGCAAAAGCTCTGAACTTGAGGTCAAAGTCGAAGACCTCCCACAGATCGGCTTGGTTGAGCAAGCGCTCTGGTCGAGCGTCCATGGGCGGCGGGTTGTTGATGTCGTCGTAGTCATTGTCGCTCGGCGCATGAATGAGGTAGTCTTTTCGGTGGTTGAAGATGAAGGGGACTTCGTAATCCTCGAGGTTGATGAACTCGAGAACTTTTCGTACAGCCTTTTCGAAAGGCTGCAAAAAGTATCTTGGGAGACCCTTCTTGGGCCACAGCATGTTGCTGATCCAGGTTGCCTCCTCAGTCAGACGGGCCTGCATGTCCTCTGGCGTGAGCTCAATCTCCTTGAACGATCTTCGGGCCAGCTGCAGGCGCTCCGGAATGTCGGTCTCGCGGATGATGTTGTCTTCGTCTGTCAACATGCGCTCCTGGAGCTGCGATGGTTCGAAGACGTCCTTGAGCTGCAGTTCGCGACCCTCGCCGGCTTGCTCGTCCTCTTCTGCCTCCTGCATTTCCAGCGCCCAGTCGTAGTCTGTGCCATCGCCAAATGCAGCTCTGTAGTCTTCCTCGGCGCCCTCGTCGAGCCCGGCAGCTTGCAGACCCTTGGTGATCAGGTTGATGCCTGGTTGTGTGACGTCGCGGTCGTCTTCGATTTCGTCCTCAAACTTGTCGTCCTCGATGAAGTCGTCGAACTCGTCGCCCAATCGGGCCCGCGGCTCGTCGTAGTCTTCATTGACTTCGTCGTCGGAGAAGATGTCGTCGACACCCCGAGACTTGACGCGCTCCTTGTGGCCGCGCTTGAGGCGCTTGAATCTCGACTTGGCTCCATGTCAGTCACGTCCCGGCTCCCGCAGCATAAGTCCTTACCTGTTCTTCCGCCGGGCGCTCGACTTCAACGCCAATCAGATCCAGATCTTCGTCGTCGAGGGCCTCTTCGGCTTCTCGGTTCTTTCTCTTCTTCTTGCGCCGGCGCCGGCGCTCTGCCGCCTCGTCCTCTTCCTCCTCGTCTTCATCGGCGATGAAGCCCTCGCCTTCCTATTCATCAGTCAGCACTCCAGCAGGGCCCAGTTCGGCGCGGCCAAGCTTGCCTGTCGCAGTCGGTCCTCGTCGTCGTCGTCTTCCTCCTCGCTGGAATCGTCGATGCCATTTGCGCCGTTGGACTTTTTGGCGCGGGGCGAGCCCGCGTCGGCCGTGTCGCCGTCAAAGTCGTCGTCCTCTTCCTCCTCGCTGCCCACGTCGGCGATTGTGTCGAAGAAGTCGGCCATGGCGTACGAAGCAAAGGGAACGCGTGCGGTGTAGGCGGTGGGTCACGGGCGGCGTCTGGGGGGCTTTTGAGGCAACTTTTTGCGGTAATGGGGCCAGGCGACTGTGGCGATTAGGCAGGAGCGAGGGCCTCGGGCAGTCGAGGTGAGGGAGAGAAGAAAGACAGATGCAGGCTCTCAAAGGTTCGCGCGCAGCCATCGGCCGCGTTAACTTTCAGCCGCACTGACGCTGGGCACGTGACGCGGCGGACGGGCAGCCACTCCAACTGCCACTCTCCACCATGCACCATCCACTGTCCACTGTCCAACAGGCACAGGCACAGGCACAGGCACAGGCACAGGCAGCGCCGGCATGCCGTGGTGCTGCACGCCACTGCCAGCGCCACGCGTGTATCCGAAACCAGCGGCGGGTTATGCGTCGCTGAGGGCGCTGGTGACACAGGACCTGCTTGTCGCTGCGCTTGAGTCGTGTGCAGGCCGGCCGTTGTCTGTCGAAACGCCACGAGTGCAGGCGACATGGCCATGGGCGCAGGCACACGGCGGCGGTGCATGTTGTTTCGATAGCACTGTCTCTATGGCGCCTGCGTGTGCGGCGTGCGCGGTGCTGGTGCTGGGAGCCCGCTGGCCCAAGACGTGCACTAGGAGCAGGTGAAGCATGGCGACCAAAACCATGCCACTCTGAAACCTCCTGAAGGATGCATCGCGTGCGTTGTCCAGAGAGTATATAGCAGCGACGTAGCCCGCCGACGGCTGGCGAGAGAGCCAACGTGTCGCCCGCCTCTTTGCAGCCCGCCCACAGCCAGTGCACGCCGCCCGTGGCCATTGCCCGTGTGTATGCGTATGTCTATGTGTATGTGTATGTAACAATACACCCGTCCACACTATCCATCCACGCCCGCTGCCGCCGCCGCCGCCGCCGCCGCTATACCGCTGCTGTCCCCCCACCACCCTCGTGCGCGCGCCCCGCTAGCCTCGACACCGACACGCCCACGCCCACGCCCACAACCACGCCCTCTCCTGACCTCCGCCGCTGCACCCCCCCGACAACAACGACACCACCACCACCACCACCACCACCACCATCCCGCACATCGTCCTCTGCCCATCCCACAGCCTTCCCCCCTCAGTCTCCGAATTGCCCTGCCCGTGCAGGCCGCTGCTCGAGCGTCGTCCAAGGCGGAGCCCCCAATAGACGCTGTCCTTCTTTGAGCCATAGCCGTGATTGGCGTACCATTGTCGACACAGCTTTGGGCGGCAAACCCGAAACAGAGGCCAGCTCTTGGGCTCGTAGACTCGGACACGCATCCTCTCTGCCCGCCTGCCTCAGGCCCCGCAAGCCGTTGCTCCCCTCGACGCCCCCTCGCTCGCCCCCCGCGCCCGGCGCAAACCGCCCGCCATGGCCGAGTCAGCCTTCAAGCAGAAGACGATGAAGAGGAAGAACGTCAAGGGCCTCGCCCTCAGCGCCCCCGCCCCCAAGCCCGCCCCCTCGGCGCGCGACGCCCAGATACCCGGCGCGCGCGCCAACGACGAGAAGCAGGACACGCTCGAGATTGGCGTCGAGTTCCAGCTGGACCTCAAGGCTGAGGACCTGATAGTGCTGCGCGAACTGGGCTCGGGCAACGGAGGAACCGTCAGCAAGGTGCAGCACGCCGCCACAAAGGTCATAATGGCGAGGAAGGTGAGTCTGACACGCGCGCGGGGCACCGTCAGCAGGCACAACTAACGCCTCGCAGGTCATACACGTCGAGGCAAAGAACGAGGTGCGGAAGCGCATTGTGCGGGAGCTCCGCATCATGCACGACTGCAACTCGGATTACATTGTCGACTTTTACGGCGCCTTTCAAAACTCGTCGGGCGACGTCATCATGTGCATGGAGTACATGGATGTCGGGTAAGCGCAATTCGCTTCCCACGACACGTCTGACAGCTGCTAACCCGTGCCGACAGCTCGCTCGACTGGGTCTCGCGAACATTTGGTCCAGTGCGCGTCGACGTGCTCGGAAAGATTTCCGAAGCCGTGCTCGGCGGCCTCGCCTACCTGTACAGCGCCCACCGCATCATGCATCGTGACCTGAAACCCTCAAACATTCTCGTAAACTCAAAGGGCAACATCAAGCTGTGCGACTTTGGCGTGTCGAGCGAGCTCGAGGGCTCCATTGCCGAGACGTTTGTGGGAACTGGCACATACATGGCTCCCGAGCGGATACAGGGATCGCCATACACGGTCAAGTCCGATGTGTGGAGTGTTGGTCTTACGCTGATGGAGCTCGCCATTGGCAAGTTCCCCTTTGCTGGCAGCGGCGACGACGACGAAGCTGGGGGTCCTCAGGGTATTCTCGACCTGTTGCAGCAGATTGTGCTGGAGCCTTCGCCCAAGCTGCCCAAGAGCGACGCCTTCCCGTCCATCCTCGAAGACATGATTGCAAAGTGCTTGATGAAGGACCCAGCAGAGCGACCTACTCCCAAGGAACTCTACGTAAGTCGATGCTAGTCCTACCTCCAGCGCACACACACTAACAGCACCCAGGACCACGATGCCTTCCTCCAAGCTGCCAAACGCACTCCCGTCGACCTGGAGGCCTGGGCCATATCCATGATTGAGCACAACAAGCGCAAATCCCACCTTGCGCCCGCCGCACCAGCCGCAACCATCAAAGAAAAGCTCCGCGAGCGTTCGCCCCCTTCCAAGCGCGATTCAAACGACCCCAGACAAAGAGTTGCAAACGGCGACCCCGAACCAGCGCCGCGCAGACCCTCATATCCCAGCCGATCCTCGAGCAGTAACAATGTCATGAACTTGCCCATGCGCCCCGCTCCTTCGCTAGACAGCCCTGGCAGCAGACCTGGCAGCAGGGGGCCTTCTGCAAATGGATTGCCCTCGCAACCTAGACGGTGGAACGGCGAGGTACAATAAACATGGTTCGTTGGAGACAATGGCATGTGGAGAAAGTCTGAGCAATCTAAGAGAGATTGGGTATATAGAGCAAGATCACTTGTTGTTTCTTATTTCACCACAAAGGAGAAGAAAGGTTTGGTAGGAAGTATGGAGGTTTTGTAGGTTAGTTTTTGTCAAGTCTGTTGTATATGTTTGAATCATCAAAAATTCATATATTTTTTTCCTTCTACAGTACATGTAATTACCTCCTCCTCCTCTTGTCCCATGCTAATCTATCTACTCAAGACAATTCCCCTTTCCCCGCAGTACTTCTCCAGCGCCGACAAGTACCACTCCTTCCTGAGCGAAGCAAGATGCTTCGCCACCCTTTTCCTCAACTTGACCCCCCCCCCCCATCGCCCACGCGATCCAGCCTCCGCAACCCAGCAGGATTCGTCCGCCGCAACCGCCTCACATAGGCCTCCTGAAAATAAAAACAATCTTGCTCTCCCACCAAATCCAGCTTGCCCCCCACCACCTTGCGCCCTACCTCGGCCGCATCCCCCTCGGCAAAAAGCGTATCCAGCGCGCCCTGAACCCGCTCGCCAAACGGCCTCATCTCGCGATTCCGCTCCCTTACAAACCCTACATCGCGGAAGAAACCACGCGCAAACGCCACCCAGTCAAACACAAGCGTCTGACTCTCCAGATCCACAACGAGGCCTGGCAGCGGCACATCGTTGCTATAGTAGCCCAGCACAGCGCGGTAGTGTCCCTCGCGCCAGTGCCCCGTAGCCAGCTTAACGCTGCTCGCATCGCGATATGAAAATGCGGTTTTCACATCCCTCAGGACTTGGTGCTGCTGCTGGGCTTCAGTAAGTACTGGACCCACGTACGTAGGCGCCACGGCGTTGTGCAATGTAAACTTGAATTTTGCTTTTGTTCTGCTGCCAAGAACACCACTATCATCACCACCACTACTACTGCTGCTGCTGCTGCTGCTGCTCTCACTCTGGTCTCTCACGAGCCCGCACGTCCCCGCACTCTGGATACGCAGCCAATGCGTAAATTGCTCGTGTTTGAAGGTGAAATCCCAGATCAGGGATACGGATCGCAGACGGTTTAACGCGAATTCGCGTTCGGCTTCCACCCGGAAGAAATGGCATACTTGGCGGCAGGTTACCCACAGTGTGTACTCGTCGTCGAGCTGGTGTAGGATGTGCGACCAGAGCTCTAGGGGCAGCTGCGAGGCCATTGTGGAGTGAGGTGGAGAGGAGTCTGAAGTCTGGAGTCTGGAGTGATGTGGATATCTGTCTGATGTGGACTTCTGAAGTGATGTGAAAGACTGAGTAATGTGGACTTTGGAGTGATATGAACTCTGGAATGATGTGGAATTCAGCGTAATGTGTGTGAACTTGACAGTGATGTTGAAAGCTTGATGGGGAAATCCACAGAATGAACGGGGATTCAGCACTTTATATACGATTCCAGAAACCGTTTGACAAAAAAATAAAAAAAAAGAATACCCTAGAACACCCCCATTCATCTTACATGGTAGTTATCACATTATATCTGGTTAAATGAGTGCAAAATAAAAATAAAAATTGTGACTCATGGTAGAATTTCGTAAAAAACAATCATGCTGGTTTGCATTGGGATTGTATCATCAGTGTTCTGATAGGATGAGCAGCGCGATTTTTAAATAAAATGAGAGAGAGAGAGAGAGAGAGAGAGGGAGAGAGAGAGAGAGAAAGAGAGAGATAGTGTGTGTGTGTGTGTGAACCAGTAGGATATCAGATACGTAAACAAAAAAACAGGAAATAAAAGAGTCAAAAAAAAACAGACAGAGATAACGAAATATTCTAGAGGTATCATGATTCAACAGTAATTTCCTAAGCACGCCAGAGTGTGAATCCACAATCACATCACATCACAGCGTAATCCCAAGCATGCTGAATGGTCCCACATCAACCTATTACACGCACCCTAAACACGACTATGCGCATTAAGATCCTCCTGGCTAGCCGACGTGCCCATCTGCACACGCATACTATTCTGCCTGAGGATCTGGCGCTGCTGCTCGCGCACCAAGCGCATTGGGCCGTAGACAAAAGCGGACAGCAAATCGCTAATATTGACGGCATCGACAATGGCGTTGAGCGGGCTGGCGGCAGGCGGACCCTGGTTCCTGTAGGGCGCGGGGGAAAACGCGAAGACTAGGAGGACGGCGAAAATGGGCATTTCACACGCCAGTAGCAGCGAGGTAAGACCCGTGTTGACGTCGTGGAAGGTCATGTATTTTGTGGGCTTGAGGACGCCTTTGCCGGCGAGGATGGAGATGATGAACTGGAATGCGGTGATTAGCTTACTCGTCTATGACTCTGTATATGTATGTGTGTGTGCATCCTTACCGACTGCAGAAAATTGAGACCGAGAACACCCTTAAAGGTAAACAGCTTGAGGATAATCTTGTGCTTTTGGAGCAGCTCCTTGTTTCGCTTGTAGAAGACGAGCGAGCCGATGATGGCCAGCGCCGTCGAGTAGGCGGCGATAATGGCAAGCCAGATGTGCGCAAAGTGGATGCTATTCGACTGCTTGCAGTATGTGCCGGCAGCCAGGGAGGCGGCGGTTGCAATCCAGACGACGACACTGGTGGGGATGAATTGCAGGACGCTGTACCACATTCGCTGGTGGGGCTGTTAGCTGTGACGTTCAAGCTGATAATAACAATAGAAAGAGAGAAAAGTGATTACTACGTACCCTCAACGACATGGGGCTTTTCTTGCCCTTCTTCTCGCTCTGGGACTTCGCGCCCTCGCCAAACAAGCTGTCGAAGCCATGGCCATGCGAGAGAATCAGATCGCACATGAAGAGCAGAAACGACGACAAGGCAATCGAACAGCCCAGGTCCAGCGACGGATCCAGGTACTCTCCCACGCTTTCCTGCCAGACGATGAGAAACGAGAAGATGGCGACCCAGGGAATCAGCGACACGATGCGGATGACCTGGCGTTGCTGCACGGGATTCGAGTAGTTGATTGCGTGCATTACCACCAGCCCGAGCACAATCACCGTGCTGACGATTGCACTGGCGCCCGCGAGTATGGTTGCGAATTGGTGAAAGGTCAGGTCGCTGACAAAAGGGACGATGGGGGGGCCCTCTGTGTTTTCCACGGGACAGACGTGCTTGTCGTCATTGTCGTTCAACCGCCTTTTGAAGAGGCTAGCGGCGGCCAGGAGTTGAGATGTGGTCATGGCTGAGTGGACTGGAGGGAAGAAGTGTACAAGGGGGAGGATGAAGGTGAGCTTGGGCGAGTCAAGCAGGCCGAGATATATATCTACTATATGCTGCTGTTGTCATTATCGCGGTGCTAGTGCCGAGAGGGATAGATGCATAAGTAACCCACCGATGTACATACATAGCCACGACGGTTCCGTGTGGGCTGAAGCCACCAACTAGAGATTGACTAGAGATCAACTATAGATCGGCCGTTGGGAGTGCCGGCTGGGGTTACTGGCAGCTAGTACCGCAGGCCAACCGCTGAGGATACCAGAACAAGTATGGAGGCGTCGTGGCTGCTCGCCGCTAAGCATTCTGCTACGGCTTGGCGTGGCTTATTTCCAGGCGTCGGTGGCTGAGCAGGTGCACGTCGCAGCGCAGCACGACGGACGGGGCGCGATGCGATTGGGCGGGGGCGGCAACGGGCCCCGCCCACACGAGCCACTGGATGCCGAAGGCGGCCTAAGGCGGCGGCCGAGGGTGAGGAGAAAAGGCGCCCTGCATATGTGCATAAGGCGCATTGCGATTGGCCCGCGCCCGCACGAGGGCTGTGTGACGCCTGCGAGGATGCTCCCTCACCCCCATCCCCAAGCTGCGACTCAGACTCAACGCCATGGCCGGAACCATACACCACACGCATATCTCCCCATAGCCCTGGACCTGGGAGCCATGTCGCCCGCCCCAGCCGGCCTCATCTCTCTGAATCAGGCATTGGCCTCAGCCGCAGCACTTGCCATTTGATTCATGTTTTGTATCGCGTGTTTCTGCATCGACTACGGCGCATCTACACTACACGTCTAATCGTCACCCTCCCCTATCGGCCCGCCCACCTGCTTCGCTGATTTTGCCGCAACAATGTCGTCCACCCTCAGCAGCAGGCACGCGCTCTCCACGGCCGTCTTGACGCTCTGCTCCTTGACCGCTATGGGCTCCCACACGTTGTATGTGTGCATGTCCGCCACCTTGCCCGCGTCGCCGTCGATCCCCCAAGAGCTTCCGCCCTGCTTGCCGTCCTCGTAGCCCTCTGCATGCTTGGCGCGGAGCTGCGTGAGCACCTTGATCGGGCTGTTGCCCGAGTTCTGGATCAGTGTGCGGGGAATCACCTCCATGGCCTCAGCAACCGCCTTGTACGGCCACTGTGCCACGCCCTCGATGAGCTTGGCCCGCCTTTCCAGGCCCACGGCAATGGCCATCTCGGTTGCCCCTCCTCCCGGGCAGAGCTTGGGGTTCCATATCACGTTTCGCGTCACCCCCATGGCATCGTGCAGATTCCGCTCAATCTCGTTCAGGATGTCCTTCGAAGGGCCCCGCAGCATAATCGTGCACGCCTTGGGGTTCTTGCACTTTGTGAGGAACGTGAAGTACTCGTCGCCAATCTTGGAAATCTCAAACAGACCGCACTCGGTGCCAATGTCTGAAGGCGCTGCCGAGAACACCGAGTTGACAATCGTGGCGCCCGTCGCACGCGCAATACGGTTGTTGTCCGTCTTGCGCACGCGGCGGATGGCCGTGATGTTGGCCTTGACGAGGTAGTGCTGTGCCAGGTCTGGTGCGTGTTAGCCGCTATACCGTGCAAACGTGCAGGGGCAACGTACCACTGACGCCCTTCTCGGTGATGACGAGATCGGGCTTGAGAGCAATGATGGCGTCGCACATGGCCTTGACCTGCTCCTCCTCGATTTGCAGTATCCGGTTCCAGTCCTCCTCTTTGCTGACCTCAATGTTCGTCTGGCTCTCGCCCTTCTTGTACTCCAGCGTGCAGTCGAGCAGCAGCACGCGGGGGTTCTCGATTCTCCGCCTCATCTTGGGGTGTGTAATGTCCTTGTTGACCATGACACCGTCCAGTACCACGCTGTCCTCGATCTCGCCGCCGGGAATCTTCTCGATACGTGCGTAGCGCTTGATGTCGACTTCCTTCTTGCCGGGGCCGACTTCAACAGACACGGTACGGACGGCCTTGAGGGCGAGACTGCACATCAGCTCCGACCACCGCGAGACAAACTTTGTGCCGATTGACGAGTTGATAATCTTGTACATTTGCTCGTCGTCGTTGATGTCAACTTCGACGGCAATCTCGTTGATGATCTCGAGGGCATCGGCCAGCGCCTTCTTGAAGGCCTGGATAATCACAACAGGGTGGATGTTGCGCTCGAGCTGGGGCAGAGCCTGTGCGAGGATTTCTCCCGCTGCTTGTTGTCAGCTGCTGCATGGGCGTCCCCGCAATGGCTACGCACCCAATATGATGACAGTCGTCGTGCCGTCGCCCACCTCCTCGTCCTGTGTCCTGCTGAGCTCAATCATACTCTTGGCTGCCGGGTGTGCGACTTCAATCTCTCGGAGAATGGCGTGGCCGTCGTTGGTGAGGACGATGCCGCCCATGGGGTCGAGCAGCATCTTCAACATAGCCTTGGGGCCGAGGCATGACCTGATAATGTCCGCGACCGTCTTGGCTGCTGTGATGTTGGAGAGCTGAGCTTTGCGGCCAAACTGCCGCTCCCCGCCCGGGGTCTGGGTGTCTGGCGTCGTGTTAGTGGGCTGTCAGGGCCTCGAAATGGGCGGTTCCATGTCCGTACTCATAACCACCACTGGCGCCTGCATCGTGGAGAACCTGGCCGAGAAGCAGTGTATACGGGGCTGGTGATTGGGGTTGCGTGGGGTATCTTGCGTCTGGTGCCTTGCAGCTCCTCCGCTAACTTTTGCTGTAGCACCCACACCAAAAACCGCGTCGCAGCCGCCGCCACACCGGCGCGGATTATCTGGGGCCGAGCACCAGCCACCGGCACGCGCGCCACCGCGGTGACTCAGCAGAGCGGCAGCAGCTGGACCCGCTGGACCCGCTGGGGCCGGCAAGTTCCATCCAGCGCAACAGTCGGCCCGGCCTTACACAAGCCTTGGCGGCTACCGCATGTGGTGACCAAACCTCGTCAGCCGGCCAATGCACGCCCTTGGCTACCCTGGACGTCGCTGGCCGGACCACTTTATCATACATTCTGCCGCCCCTCACCGCATCGCTTCCAGCCTCTCACGGGACTTGCGCGCAGCTTACAAGACCGCTCTGGCGCCCTCCAAACCTTCCCTCCTCCATCTCACTTCCTCGCGCCAAAACCTCCCACCCAGCCCTCTGCCGTCCCTCGCCTCAAGTCTTGCCTACTTGAATACCTCTCCCCTCCGCCACCACTTGTCTTAGCTACTCCACCCTTCCATCCTCCATCCATCCACCTCCACTGCGTCCTCAGCCCAGCATCCATCATCCACTCGCACTTATCCTCATCGTCGTCGCATTCCGTGACTCCAGAAGGCACCTTGTCGCGTGCTCATCTTCTGTCCAGTAGTCGCTTTGCAGACTTTTGTATCCTTTCATCTCTATTATTGTAGTCTACTAAACATACAGTATGGGCCTCAACTACTACGCCTCGTCGCCAACCGTCGTCCTGCCGCCCCAGCAACCGCAGGGCTACTTCTCCCGCCACCAGGGCGCCGTCGCATCACCAATGGGTAACTTCCGCCCCAAATACCCTACTCCACCCTCGCTCAACTATCTAGCCGCCGTGTCCAATGCCACCGCTGGGCGCAAACGATCCATCGCCGACGTTGACGAGCCGGAGGAGAACCTACCCGTCGGATCCATTGTTACTCAAGCACCTGCGAAAGCCAAGCCCGAGCCCGTGTATGGCCCAGGCATGACGCTCATCTACCCGGGCGAGCCTGGCTACACGATGGCTGCCGAGTCGCAATCGGGCACTTGGTACGAAGAGAAGATTGAAAAGGAAGAGAAGGCGGAAGCTGCTGCTCGCCCCATTGCCATCTCGCGCAAATCAGTGCGCATGAGCCCGGCGTCGAACGTCCACATCGCCTCGCTCAACGACATGGACGCTCAGAAGACGGAAGAGCTCATCGACGACAACGGCACCACGATCAACACTCTGATCTCGTCGCTCGGCGTGGGCTGGAAGAACGTCATGTCCAACCCCAACCTGCGCGACGCGGCGCGCGCCTACTCGCGTGTGATTGAGCGCCACTTTGACTTTACCGACGCTCTCGTGATGCTGGAGAAGGAGTCACTCAACGCGTACCTGGTGCGCGCAAAGCAGCACGGCGTGCAGGGCTACTGGCTGTTCTCGGACAGCCTGCAGTGGTGCCAGCTCGTTGGCTGGTCGCTGGAGCGCACTGTCAACAACCTCATGTTTGGTGCCACTCCTCGCGTCGAGGGCGAGCGCATCAATGCCCGTCACCTTACTCCTTCGTCGGAACACTCAACAACTCCCCATGCCCCACCAGCCGTCGACATGGCCATGGCCACTGGCGATGCCGATGCCATGGAGATGTAAAGCCCCCCTCGTCTCGTCCCTTCTCTTCCTTCTCGTGTCGTTTCTACTCTATACTGGCAACAAAAAATCACCTCGGTTGTCCTCGTTGGCTGCATTGACCGACGATTGTTTCTGTCTTGGGTTCTTTCTTCTTCGGCACACCGGCGTTTGCGATGGATACGAATGGCTCACCGGAAGTGACTCCATTTGACATGTATGATATTATTATGCTCACTACGACTGCTTGATCGGATAGGTTCGATCGCGTCTCTCAGCACCGTGCCACTAAACTTGTCAGGCAACTGATCAATGAAACTATGATTATTACTAGTATTATGTTCCTTGTCTGTTTGCCCTGTTGTGATTGCGCCATGATACTCGGTGTATTATTTATTTTTGCACACGAATCGTCTGATTCAGATTGCATGTTTTGGCCCTCAATTACCTCGGTTAGGCGGGCGATACAGGCCAGATGCCAATGGACACAGTGCAGACTCTGGCACTGCCGTGGCCTGTGTGGCCTGTCCTCTTTCCTTCTCCCTCTCCCCAGCAACGGCACACACACACACACACACACACACACACACACGCACCCTAGGAGTATTTGCCCACCCCCTCCCCAACCAAGCCATTGAATCCGCCAAACGCCGCGGTAACAAGGTTGCAAGGGCAGTTCCTCGCGGCACAGGAAATATCGCGCTCCGTGCCCTGCCGAAAGCGCACCGTCGGCTGCTCAGTCAACGCGAACACGACACGCTCACGACTTCCATCCCCCCCCCAGTCTTTACGCGGCTTCTCGGTACCACGCCAGACGGGCGATTATCCCCCAGGTGACAAACACAAAAATTGCTGCGCCCACCCAAACACTCTTTACGAGTTCCTGTTTCAGCTCCCGAAGCGCAGGGCACCAGGGGCTTTTTAGCTGTTGCAAGAATTGCGCACAAGCATCCTTGCGATCGTTGCGAGCGAGCTCTCTGTGCCCTTTCTCGAGCCAGCTCTCTGTGTGCCCTTCTCTCTGCCGAGCTGTCTCCCTCTCATGCAGTCTGTTTCGCGGTATTAGTAGTAGCTGTTGGGGGGGGGCGATGCGAGGGGGGGTGCCGTTGCCTCCCACAACCATCCACCCCCCTCCCCTCTCCCTCTCCCTCTCCACTCGCGCCACCAATTTTGGTGTGTTTCGCCAGCGCCTTAGGGTTCCAACGTGTGCGTGCGCGCGCAGCCTTCTTGATACCGTGGTCATGGCCTGTTCAGCCCGTCTTGTTGACTGGGCAGCTGGCCCTGTTTTTTTTTTTGGCTGGTTGGGTGCGTGAACATTCAGCAGGGGAGGGAGGGGGTGTCACGATAATGGCAAATTAACCAAAGGCAAAAGAACGGGAATGCAGGAATAAGGGTAGCCATTGCCCACATGTTTACTTTTTCCCTCTTATCCCTTCGCACTGCTCGTCCTTTTCCCCTGTCGCTGCATCTACGAATGGCTAGCTGGCTGCTTGAGCGCGTATTGGGTGGCGGACGGGCGGCCGGGCTTCTATTGGATGCACATGGTAATAGGAGTGGGAAGGATGGATGAGGAGGAGGGCACGCGCAGTTGTTGTTGTCGTTTGTTGAGGCGTCATCTAGTCTCATCTGGCTCGCCGCGTCAAAAGCGGCTTGGGGCGGCAGGCTGCCCCCCGGGGACTTTGCTTACCGCATCGTTTTGCTGTACGCGCGATTCGTCGTCGCTGGCGTGTTGAGTTAAGTGTGAGTGCTACCCTGAATACCAAAACGCCCATTGATTTTGCCTTTACCCGCGGCCGGTCAGCTGTTCGTCCTAGGGCGTTGCTGCTTTGGGTATGGGCTCCGCCGTGCCCTTACTTATCCCATGTTATACATGGTCGAAACCGCCCAAGGCGCTACTACCTCGCGCACATGGCTAGTACTGTATAGTCCATGTATGTGTGTGTGTGTCTTTTTACGGCGCACTCGGACTGGCCGGGGGTTGCTACCGCGGACAAAGGATATGCCGGCTGAGTGAGTGTCTTTGTTATCCCGGCGTCTCCGCCCTCGACTTGAATCAAACCCACGTGATATATCACCGCAGGACACACACACGCACGCACGCACGCATCAGTGGGTAGTAATCTACTTCGATAACTGACTTGATAAACAAACCATAACGTTTTAGGCATGACCCCAAACAAATAGAAAACCCTTCCCTCCATCCTCACCACCCCAAGTTGAATGATACAAAAGAGTCACATGACCAGCACCCAGCCCCTCTCCCCTTATCCTCCAATCACAAAGCAGGACCCACATATTCTTTCCCAAACAGGCAATTTCCCAACTTTCCCCTTCCCTTCCCTTCCGTCGAACGCTGTTGGAAAAAGCAAAGTCTCCCTCTCTCTCTCCCTCTCACTTTGTCGCTCTTACCGCGCGAGTGCGAGTGCGAGACTCGCATACCCCCCCCTCCCCCCTGCCCTCCGCACCTGACTTTTTAAACCCAAAAAAAAGAAAGAGAAAAAGTGGCCCGATTAGCTAAAGATAAATCAGCACGTGGGCTTTATACTCACTCACACACGGACACAGACTTCAATGGGCTGATGGCCATTTTAGTTTTTTTTTTCTGGCTGTGTTTTTTTTTTTGCTCAAATGTGACTTTGGAATCTGACTTTTTGTTGTATTACATAGGTGTGTGTGTACGACCGACTTTGCTTACTTTACTCACTGCTATTACACACGAATCCAGTATCTCGCATCAATCTCTCTCCCCGCTCTTTCCCCCCCAGTCCCAGTCCCAGCATCCAGCATCCAGCTTCACCGCTAAATGCAAGTCGTGTCCCGCACTGGACTGGACTGTACTGCTGTACTCGGGTTCCCCCCTCCCCCTTTTTTTTTCTCGCCCAGTCCAGCATCCCCTTTAGCCTCTGTGACCTTTTGCGCCACACGCACACACATACGTACCTCCATATTCAACATCAACATCAACATCAACAGTACATACATTATCAGGCGCGCCAGGGCCAACAATCCGCCGATCCCCTTGAGATTCACTTACCTACGTACTTAGACTTGGGATTTCCCCCCGATTTTATCGCACAGAGCTACACTTACATCCAGGCGTCGCTGAGAAACTCCGTTTCCCCCCCATTTTTTTCCTCAACTCTTGCTTGCTTGCTTTCTTTCTCGTTTTCGTAGTAAAAACCTGATGCGTGTGCATGTGGAGCGGGAGTGCGAGTGCAAGTGCGAGGGGGCCCTAGAGAGGGGAGGGGGGGGGTATGACGAAAGCCAAGGCTGACACGGTGTAAATAACTGGGAAAACTCGGTGTAAGTAAGTGGGTTGGGTTGCCTGGGGCGGTGAGACGCGGTAAGTGAGGCGAGCGGAAGTGTTCGGAGGGGGAAAGCCCCCCCTTCCATATGCCGTTGTGAGAGAAAACGGGTTGGACTGGGTTGGGGGGCAACAAAAGGTGAGTTGAATAGAAAACTACTTGGGGCTTGGATGATTGGATGGATAGATGGGTGGATGGAGGCACATCGTTGCAACGGTATGTAAAGGAGCAGTAGCAGTAGCAGTAGTGGATCCAGCGACTATAGCATTAGTTGTACACGGACAGACCGACCAATCCATAGTAAAAAGGTAATTCGTGTGTGAAGACAGCCCATATTATAAGTATCCAAAACCCTCCCATCTTTTTTATTTTGTATATTGAAATATATCAAAACGCAAGAAAAACAAGGAAATGAGTAGAAGCACGAATAAAAAAAAGGAATAAATAGTCGATAGTGAAGAACGTGTATGTATGTATATGCCCCCCAAGAAAAGGTCAAGTATTAAGTCAAGAAGAAAGGGTGGGGAAAAAATAGTAGAAGATGCAAGATAAGAGATGATAGAAAAGAGATCTAAATGAAAAGCCAGAGAGCGCAAATGAACGGAGGCGGACCGAAGAGAGAAGTGAAAAAAAAAGACGCCGAGGAAATGCATGCAGAACAAAGTTCCCTTAACCTAGCCTACCCCCACACTTGAGCAAACAATGCAAAAGAAAGGAACAAAAAAAAACAGGCTGATTCAAGCGACCAGATACAAAGACAGAGAAAAAAACGAGAAACACACACAAAAAAAAGACAAGCAAGAGGGACATATCAAGTGTGCAGAGTTCCAAGTCCTCTGTGAAAAAAAGGCTGTAGAGTCCCAACCGTAGTGTCTCTCAGCGATTCGCAACCCTCGGAATCCGCTTGCCATTTCGCCCTCTTATCCCTAATATTCTAGTTGCTGTACACATGTTAGTTTACCAACTCCCGACTGAGATAGAAAAAGGACAAAACTTACTAAATCTCCAACGGTGCAATCTGATCAACGTTGTACAGCCATCCGCCACCCTTTTCTTCGCTTTCCAGCCAATCATATGGCCAAAGCACAAGATGGCCCTGGACCAATTCAAGCACTCTCTTTGCGTCTTCCTTGTCAAGCATCATTTCGGCGTCTGTCGCATTGAACGTCTTGTTGGAGCTCTTGGTCGTGCCGCGTCGACGAGAACGCTTCGTGTTAGAGCGGTTTGGAGGAGTAGACGTTTGACCAGGGTGGTTTGCTGGCTCGTTGATGGTTACTTGGCGAGAGCGTTCGCGGTGCGAGTGTGATGTTGGAGGAGGGTGTTGCGAGGCGAAATCGTTGTAAGAGCTGTCCGGAATAGGCGGTGGAGCAGGGAAGGTAAATGTCTTCTCTGGTGGAGCAGCGTTCATTGGAGATACGACGGCATCATCCGCAGGCTCTGGCGCCAGCTTCTCATTCAGCGTGGATCCAGAAGCTGTGTCGACATGAATGCCGCCGCGGCTTGCTAGTGGAGACGGGTTACGAGCATGCGATCCTCTCTCTTGGTCGTCTGTCCATAGCTCGACACTGGGCTGGTGAGCGTTTGGCTCGGTATTGATCTTGCTATCAGAATTGTTGGTCATTTTCTCAGTGAGCTTCTCACCCAAGGCTCCGACCTTGTTTCCAACATTGCCAGCCGTTGTGCTAAGCTTGCCGGTAATTCCTGTACCAGGCGGTCCTGTAGTAGTCGGCGCACCCTGCTGCTTGTGTACTTGGCCCTTGCCGCCGCCCTGAGACTTGGCGAAGCGCTCACCAAAGGCAGTATACTCTTGGTACTCTTTCCATGTACGGACTTCGTTATCGGGCATGCAGCGGAAAACTTGGCGGAACAGCTTGGTGTTGTTCTCAGCAATCTGGTGCCAGGTGTCGAGGAAGAAGGTGTCGTTGATAGGGTCGCGCATGCAGTCTTCGGTCACAAGGGGACGTCGCATCTCGGAGAGAATTGGGTTGAGGACCGAGGACGAGCCTTGACTCACGGTGCGCTGGAGAGCAGGTGGTCCGCCAATGTCCGTGTCGTCTGAGATGGGCAATGCAGGTAGCTGGCTGAGTTGCGTAAGGCCTAGCTTCGCCGTGTCCATACGTGGGAGTTTGGGAGGTGGAAGGCCGGCATATCCAGTTCCCTCGGTCAACGCGCTGGTTGCACTGTTCCTAGTACCCGTAGTGCCGCTGCGCTTTCGCGTTCTGAAGGCAGGGTTCTTTTTTGGTGTAGCCGCCAGACCTTCGGCTGCAATGTCCGTTACGAGTTTCTCGTGGCCATGCTCATCAATATACGAATCCCTGCCATGGGCAAGGGCTGGCTTGAGCTGCTCCACCTCTAGCATGTGATCGGCGCCTTCACCGCGGACATCCCTTGAATGCGCTGCGTTGTTCTGCACACGAGTGTCGGTTGACGGCTTCTTGTTGCTGTGCAGGTGTGGATTCTCGTCTTGCGCCCAGTCAAAGTCGTGGTTGAAGCTGTGTAGATTTTCGGCCTTTTGAATAAGCTCATCCTGCATCCTGTAGTTGTTCTCTTCTAGCTTTTGTTCGGTCGTGCGTTGAGCTGTAGGCGAACCGGGCCCAGAGGACTCGGTACGGAAACCGACGCTATCGGCATCAGACATTTGACTGGCCATTTCCTCTTCAGAAATGCAGTCCACGTCGACGCCCAGATGCTCTCGCATAAGACGCATACGAAGCGTGTGAGGGAACTTGCCGACCTTGTACGGCTGGCCACCCATGTAAGAGTCGAGTAATTCGGTATCGCGTATGATGGCTGCAATTTCGGAATCGCGTGATCCCAGCATGGAGCGCTCGTTGATGTTTGCAGATCCAATAATGGCAACCCGATCGTCAACAACCATGATCTTGGCGTGAATGTAGAGTTGCTCCGTGACCAGCATCTTGCTCGGCCCAATCTCGCCCCAGGATCGCAGGGCATAGAAGTGGATGTAGTCTTCTGGCTCGATACCAGCAGCTCTCAGACGCCCAAAGATGGAGCCTTCGCCACGGCAGATGCTGTGATATTGGCAAGTCATGATGAGACGGACACTGCTACCTTCTTGCTCGTCGACCGTGTTTTGGTATCCAGGCATAAGAGGTAGCATGATGCAGGCCCTCCAGTCTTCGTCGTTTGCATGAGCACGCTTGATACGGTCGACGAGGGCATCGTTGATCTTGTTCTCAATCTTGGTACCCAGGACCTCGCTGCTGCTAATGTAGAACTGGTTTTCAATGTAGACAAAGTGCTCCGAGGTAGAAATCATCTGCACGTATGCGTTCATGATGCTGTGCTCAACCTTGTTCGGGGTGCCCAGTGACCAGGCACATGCAGAACGAAGGATTTGCACCTCGCACGTTCCGTCAAGTCCAAGCGCCTCGATATCGGCCGGGTTGAAGTCGGGCGGCGGCAGCAGGAATGGTGTTGGCCGCGAAGGCTTACGTTGGCGCAGCAAGTAGTTCCACCGTTGGACAAAGTGCCGGGTCAAGTCGCGTGCTGGCTGGCCCACGATCTGCATACCGACATCGTGCCACGGCATTCTGGGGACCTTTGAGCGGTCGTACATCTCCTCGTAAGGTTTGTCGAGCGCAAAAAAGTCCTGTACTCGAGGATTGGAGTAGTCCTTACCCGGCCACAACTGACAGTGATCGGCGTCCTTGGGTGTGTCGTCGAGCTCAAAACCAGTAGGCTTGTCATCCACGACGACGTGCTGCGGCGTATCCCAGCGACCAAAACACAAATCAACACCTCCACAGAAAGCAACTGTATGGTCGATTACGCAGATCTTCTCGTGATGAGACCAGAAAAAGGTGTTCTGGCGGATCTGATTTGGTGAACGCTGCACAAAGATGTTTGGATGGAGGTCGAGCAGAGAGAACTTGGAGTACTCGGAATCAATGGGAATAGCGGCACCAATATTGCGGTACATGATGACGAAGATCTTGACACCCTCCTGGGCTTTGCGTTGCAGTAGTCTGTCGAGTCTCCACTTCTGACTGATGGCAGCTGGCCGACGTAGGTAGAGCTCCGGGCTGAGCCACCAATCGTGGATGTAGATGACATCTCGAGCCATGCTGATGGCTCTAGATACATTCCACATGTAGTCACGGCCATCAACAAGCCATTGTGCGTAGATCTTCCTGCGAACTGGGGCAAAGCTGTCGAAGCGCTGACGTTGTGACCACACTGTGTTTTGTGACATGAAGCTGATAGAGTCTTCAAACTGCTGCAGCATCCTGTCGTTCCTAGCCAGCAGTTTCATCTTCCGCTCGGCATTGACAAGCTTCAGCTGGTGATGGCCCGTTGCGGATGCCTTTGCCTCGCTTGCAATGTCTCTTGCTTTCTTGTCTCGTATCCTGCCTGACTTGGATTCGAGGTTGAAGTCGGCATCCACCAAAAACACGTCGTAGACATTCATCTCCTCTGGGGAGTCTACGCACACGACGTAGCTGTGCCTTACAAGAAACCATTTTGGCCAGTGGCGATTGATCATGGAAACCTTGGTCCAGCCTTTTCTGTTATCGACACCTTTTGAGGATTTGATCATCAAATACCCTTCCTTGCCGTGATAGCCACCCTCAGCTGCCAGTCGGACACCGAGGGCAGAGAGTTCGAGAAACTTGCACAACCGGTTGCTGTCAGGGCGGAAGATGAGATAGGTCATCAAGCTGCGCAAGTACTGTTCCAGCTTCTTCCGTTGTCGCTCGTGATGGGTCTGTTTTGCCTGGGCTGGCTGACCGGAGGCTCCTACAAAGCTGCCCTGTCTTACTACAAGTGCGCCAACGGCGCTTTGAGCCTGACTGCCACTAACGCTGGATTGTCTCCGACCCAAGAAGGACGACTTGCCTCGCTTTCCTTTGGGTCGTTCCGTACCACTGGCATCGCCTTCGGGACCGCTGGCAGCACCCCCGACCGCAGTCTCCTCCTCCTCCTCTTCGCCTTCGTCATCCAGAATACCATAGCCTCTGAGACCTCGGAGGTAGGGAAGCACACTCCTGGGGAAGCGGGGGAGTTTTGTCCTGGGGTCGTCCTTTTCTTCTTCGTCTTCCTCGCCATCTTTGGCGGCCTTGTCCTTGATCTCGCGCGCGCGGTTCGCAGGCCGGCTCCGGAAAGCGTCTTGTTTCTCTTGAACTTTGAACTTGAGATGCAAATTGGCAAAGTCGGCGACGCTCCTGTAGACGACCCATTTCATTCGTGTAAGGCCGCTGCCGTACTCCAGTTCGATGCGCAGAGCGGTGTGGCGGTCGCTCTCTTTCTTTCCCGGGCGGTCGCTATCGGTAATGCTAACTTTGAGCTGTTCGAGCAGGACAGGAATGCGCTTGTGGCCGTGCTCGTCGCGCTGGAACATACTGGCCAGGAACAGGGCAGCAGGGGCTCCAGCAAGCAGTTCGGCCATGAGTTCGGCCGACTTTGCATGGTCAATCTGGCGCTCCACCTTTTGCCTGTTTCCTAAAAGCTTCAGACTGTTCTTGATTGACTTCCACTTTTGAGCACTCAAGCTTGATGTGCGCTCGCTACGCATCCTCCATGGCGAAGGTTGTGTGTCGCCATGGGCATTTCTAAACGTTGTCAGGCTTCGCAGATTTCCCGCTGGCCGGCTTTGCTGGCCATCTTCTTCGCTGTTTGGGTCGTGTCGTCGCAGACCGCCGTATGACAGGCCTCTGGCGCTATGCAGTCCACGTGTCCAAGCACTCTCCTTGGCTATGCGCGAGCGCCCCTCGTCCTCTGAGTAGCCCTGACGCTCGTTCTCGGGTATGTCGTCCATCGTGGATCGACGCAGGAAGCCCGGGCGCGTAGAGGTGGGAGTCATGGTGGGCGAGTCCCTCGAGAAGAAGAAGCCACCGCCCGATTGCTTTGGCGTTGTCGGGGCTGTCTGTGTGCCTTCGGCCTCGCCGTCAAACCAGCGGCGGCTACTCTTCCGCCGTTTCTGTCTCGGTCTGGATCGTGAGGCGCCCTCACCGGCACTGGACTCAGCATCTGCGTCCGCCTCACTGTCGTGCGCCTCGAATCGCGGCTCGTCGAGTTCGGATGTGGGCGATAGCTGGCCGTGGGGCGAGCCCTCGTGGCCCGACGACGCTCCTCCCAGGACACTCAGGCTCCGGCCATGTCCCTGGATGGGCGATGCCAGGGCCCTCAGCTTGCCTATCAGCGACGAGGCTTGTGTGCTGCGCTCCTTGCCCTTGCCATCGCTCTCGTCGGCTTCCCATGACTGCTGGCGTGAATTCGCCTGGATAGAGTCCGAGTTGAGTGTTGTCGGGCGAGCGAACTGGACGCTCTTTCGCTCTCGGGGCGTGTCGGACAGCTCTCCCTCGGTCGGGTGCCGTGACATGGGCGCAAAGGGCGGGTAGTAGGAGCCGGTGGAGCCATTGGACATGTGCGAGGATGGCTTTGGGGCTCGAAGGGGCGTCTCCGCAGGTTCGGCGGAACCATTGCCGCCAATGGCACTGGCGGGCGCATTGAAGGGAAATTCGTTGGGCTCTTTGGGAGACAAGGGCGAGCCGGTCGGGGCGGAGCGCATGATCCTGGGGGCGGCGTCCGAGGGCGAAGGGTTGTAGAGGTCCTGTGTCTCGTTGACGTGGCCCGGCCGAGGAGGCGGTGACAAGAGGCGGCCTGGCTCTTCTGAGCCTCGTTGCGCGGCTGGCGACGACGAGCGCGGGCTGCGGGCCATGGGCGAGACGTCTGACGTGTTGGAGCCAGGCATGCTGGCGAGCGACGAAAACCGGCCGTGACAGCGAGTCGTCGGGCTGGGATCGGGTCGCGTGGGGGATACGTGGGTTGCTGCTGGGGGGGTTGGAGAATTTATACAGCCATTGTCCTGGAGCCAGGAGCCCTGCTGTTGTTTAGTTGTTCAGTTGTTCACTTGGTCACGCTGCCGTGGATGCTCTCGTCACTGGCAGAAGTCGCGCCGCACCCGAGCGGAGAATCGAGTGTGAGTGGTCAGCCCCCGAGAACACACGCGGCAGAGGAGGTGATCAGTATAACTTTGCCGGGTCCTTGCGCGGTGGAGTCTGTCTGGATATAGCACATGTGTACACAATACAGTATTAATCTCCCACATGGGCTCCCAAACCGCCGTGTGGCGCTAGTCCCAGTCCGGCCCCCCTGCCGTCAGGGGGATGGCGCCCTGGGCGCTGCCGCCTTCTTCACCGCCTTCGTCACGTGATGCCCGCTCCACCAGCACTTGCACCTGCACCCCTCGCGCGCATCCAGCTGGGCATGCCGCCATGCACATGTCCATGTGTATTCGCAGCATCGTTGCTTTTTCAGCCCTCTTGGTGGTGCCCTCCATCTCGCCCCTCGTCGACTAATCGCCCACCATGCTCTCTTGCCGCGTCATGACGCTACCTCGGCATTTCTCTCCCACCTCCACCATGGCCGGCCAGATACGGCCCTCTGACGACCTACCACTCCTGCATCCTCATCTGCGGCATCCGTAGGCATCCATAGATCCATAGGCATCCACAGGAACACACAGGAATCCATAGCCCGCCGCAATGTCTGCAACTACAAACCCCCTCCACGGGACTTCATCCTCGACCCTCCGCCCCATTTCGTCCCGCACTCTCACCATTGCCGGCATCCTCGTCGACATCTATGGCCTCGACGAAGTGCCTGCCGCTGCATCCTCGGTCGCCTGCCTTTGGCTGCTCAATCCGCGCCTCCAGACGAAAGAAACCATGCAGCCCGTCGCCACTCGAGTCATCTCAACATGGCACAGCCGCATACAAGAGGGTCGCGCCGGCAAGAACCCCAAAGGCCTCATAGCTGTCGCATTTGACCAGCGCAACCACGGCTCCCGCAACGTCGACGACTTGCACAATCAGTCTTGGCGAGACGGCAACGAGACTCACGCCCAGGACATGTTTGGCTGCTACCACGGCACTGCTACCGACACCTCGCAGCTCATCAACCACCTCGGATCCTACATCTTCACCGCCCCAGATGCCCCCAAGATCCAACAGCACTTTGCTCTCGGCGTCTCACTGGGCGGACATGCGACCTGGCATTGTTTGTTGGGCGACCGGCGCATCACTGCCGGCGTCGTGGGCATTGGCTGCCCCGACTACACCCGCCTCATGACCGACCGCGCACGTCTGTCCAAGCGCAAGACCTACACCGCCACCACACCACCCGGCAGTGCCTTTCTCGGATCCTCCGACTTTCCCAAAGCCCTGCAGGACGCAATTGCCCAGTATGACCCCGCAGGTCTTATGCTGCCCGGCATGTTCAATCCCACAGCCGACGACAAGCAGCCCGACCAAGCACAATTGGACCGGATGAAGGCCCTGATGCGGGAACGTCTACAAGGCAAACGCATACTCAACCTCAGCGGGAGAATAGACAAGCTCGTCCCTTATGCAGCCGGCGAGCCCTTTCTCAACATCTTCAGGCGCATCATTGCAGATGATGCCAGTCTTGATATCGCGTTTGACGACATCCTGTTCGATGGTGTCGGACATGCATTTCCTCAAGCCATGGTAGATTACGCTGCAGAGTGGCTGTGCAGCCTTTTGGCAAAGGATGATGCTGGGCATGTATCGAGTAAGATATAGAAGTGGCAAGAGCCATGCATAGATCAATTCATTGATGCATGAGTTGATTTTCACAAGCCCCTTTTGTTTTGTTTACTTTTCCATATGCTATGCTGACTTGCTCGTTGGACTTGTGCATCCCTACTTACATCGAGGTAGAGGTTGTGTAATTCAATACACACATACGCACACCACATTCACATCTCTCTGACTCTCAACTCTGCATCCCAACCCCCTTTCCTCCGCTCCCAAGCAAAATAAATCACAAATAAAAGACTCCAAGTCCCTCGCCTACATCGCCAATTATCTCAACCCTACCTCCCTGTTTTCCCCCATCAAAACCCCATACACATGTCCTCCACTACACCTCTCCCACCGTCTTCTTCGCACCCCTTCGGTTCGTCGCAGACGCAGACGCAGATGCAGCTCCACCCGTCTTCTTCGTCGCTGCCTTCCCATTTCCACCACGCTGTGTCGTCGCACTAGCTCCTTTCTTCACCGTAAACCCGTATTTATTCGTAGTCGTAGTCGCCGGCGCCTGAGTCTTTGGACTAGCCTTCGCACCACCAGTAGTAGTACTACTACTACCATTCGCATCCGCGTTCCTCGGAAAACTCGACCTGGTGTTCACTTTCCTCTTCTTGCTAGCTGTAGTGTTCGCCGGCGTAGCAGCAGCATAATCCTCGTCCGAGTCGGAAGCGTCATCTGCGCTTTTGAAGTCCGCCTCGTCGTCGTCGTCGTCATCGACTGCTGTGGCTTTCCTCTTCCTGGTCTTCGCTGGCCAAGTATTCGACTGCGGCTTCTTTGCTATTTTCATTGTCGCCTTGTCTGAGTTTTGAGCTTGCGTATCAGGAGTGCCAAGTCCGGCTTTTGGCTTTGTGGTCGAGGATTTGGAAGCAGATTTGGAGACGGCGGGTGAGTCTTCTAGACTTTTTTTTGCATGCGGTGCTGGGTCGCCCTGTTCGTCGCTCTTGTTGTGTGATGGGAAGAGTTTGCGGGCTATGGGCTTGCGCTGTTTTCGCGGTTTGGTCGCACTGGTGGAGGAGTCTGAGTCGGTGTGTGAAGGCGCGTTGTCTTGGGCTATGGTGTCTTTGGTCTCATTGATATTTTCTTCCTGTTCAGATACATTGGAGCTTGCCTTCTTTCGAGGCTCAGACTTTGAACCAATACCTGTTGCGTTTTTGGCCCTTTTGGTTGGTTCGTGACCTGCGTCTGAATTGGTAGTAGTGGCTTTGATCTTAGGACCTGGCTGGCCAACCTGCATGGATGCATTGTTTTCACTGGGGTATGCTGCTGCGGCTTGCTTCTTTGCTGTCATAGAATGCGGAATGCCTCCATTGTTGGCTGTAGAGTCGAAAGCTGACTCGCTCTTGGTGTCAGCTGGAGATATGCCATACACTGCCTCGTCGATGTGTGATGGTGCTTCAGAGAGTTCGGTTGACGTTTCATCGGCTTGTGATGGATCTGGTTCTTTGTCTTTGCTCGTAGGAAGTGCGGTAGGTGGGTGCTTGTCCTGCTCGTCGTTTTCATCCTTGTCGGGGTGGAACGGGAAAGGCGGCAATGTCATCGTGGAGCTGTGGAGGTGCTCGGATCCTGCAATATCGTCTTGAGTTACTGTATCGTTAGACTTGAGTTTGTGAGGTTCTTCATCCTGGGTTTCGTCGTGTCCATGGTTGTCTTGGGTGAATAGGTTGGGAAGGCCATTGGCGGCGTCCTGCAATTGGGTCTGCCACAGCTGACCAGCCTCATCATTGCACGCAAGGAATTCTGACGGTGGAGATATGACTGAACCTTCAACAGGAGGCTCGGGTAGACTCGCGACTAGTGAGGCTGCCTGTTCGTTCGACTCGCGTGATACGACCTGATCTGTCTCTTCTGAAGGGAGTGGTGTCCTACCTGATATACTTCCACCTTCCAAAGAAAGCTGAATCTCAGATGAAACCATTTCGCCTTTTTCTATGTCCCTCTGGACCGTGGAGAAATCTTTCTCGTCGAGGATGCCACTCTTAGAAACCTCGCATTCGATATGGGTGTGATCGGGCACTTCGAGCGCCACTTGTAATCCCTTGACTGAGCCTGCTTCCAATTCCTCTGGTACCTGCTGTTGCGCTACTGCGGCTGTCAATAGCAAAGTTTCGTAAAACTGAGCGGAGTTTGATGTACAATATGCGTGTGACTTGGTGTTATCATTTTGATCGTCTTCCAACTTCATACCGTTTGCTTCACGGCCAACTGACCTTTCATCTAACTCTGCAGCATTATTGACTTGGCCCTGAGGACTTGTCCCCGAATTTATCAGCGCAGTTACAGATAAAGATTCATCAATCGCCATTCCATCCAATGGCTTAGTATCCCCGTCCTCAACTTCAAGTTTTTCTCCTTGAGCATTCGAGTTGTTTTGCGCCGGGGTATCAAAGCTGGTGGTCTCTTGTTGTTGGGAGGGTCCAGGGATCCATGGCGGTGAGCTTGGAGATGTACGCAGCGTCTTTGCTTTAGAAGTATCGGGAGGTAGTGTGTTCGTAAGAGTGGGCGAGACCCGGTCTGCGTTTTGTTTCTCCTCATCTAGACTTACTCGCGATAGATGTATCTGTGTTTGAGCTACTGCTTTGTCGCCGCACATTGAGCCGTTGTCCGAAATAGTCGCGATTGGAGTATCCACAGCCTCGAGAGCTGAACCATCACCGGACTCTTGAGTCCCGTGTTCTGACTCGTCAAGAAGACCAGTATCATTCTTCCCATTTGTCCAATCAAAGTTTTCGATCTCTCGTAGGCCATCTTCCCAACTGGTCGGATCCAGATCGTCGGTGGGATACTCGGGTGGCTGCAGCCCGTCTGCAAATCGTGCGTCAGGATCAACACAGGACGCGTCGTATTTGTATCCCGACTCCTCCAGGCCCCACGGAGATAAGATGCGCTCCGACATATCGTAGAAGATCTACTCACTAAAGCAACTAGTGGTTGTGTGTGGGAAAGAGTTGAGTTGAATCGCTCAAGGCCGCGCGGGTTGTTTCCGAATCACAGTCAGAATGTATTTTGTATATTGTGGGGATAAAGCGCGTGTACAGTGACTGGAGGAACGAGCAAAACAATTCGAAATAGGCAGTCGAGCAAACAGTCTCACAGTGAAGTGAGCATAAGTGCGCTTATCGCAGTCGGGATCCGCTCTCACTTTGTCTGGCGTTAGCCTGTGTTAACACAGTGTGGTTCACTATTCTCATAAGATTAAAAACTGGTAATCCTGACGCGAAGGTTTGGTTGCTCTTTCGCGTGTGCATGGTGTTCACCAAAGGCTCTGCCTAGTGGCTGGATCTTTTTACACCTCACTCTCATGGTGAGAGTCTTTCACCTGACGTTTGAAATCCAATTAGTGTAAGAATAGACACATCTTTGGTTGGTAGGTATCACAGAAAAGCCAGTAGCTGCCGCTCATCGCTATCACCTCCTCAGTTAAGATGAATAGAAAAGCCCGAGGCTATAGAAGAAAGCCAAACGGATATCCGATCGAAGATCGAAAGGCTTGCCAAGAAATCAAGAGTTGTGTCAAGGTCTTCGGATCGTTATGACATTACTAATAGCATTTCCAGCGTCGATGGGCTGTGCGAGGACTCTAACTTTGTTAGTACTAGTTGTCTTACGAAGGAGCTCGTATTTAGTTTGTCCTTATCTCACCGCATACCTGTATACAAGAACAATAAAACAACGCAACCAAGATATTTTTTTATTTTAAAAACACGTAAGGTGTTTCCCTATGTAAAGAGCTACCAAATTTCGTGTTTAAATGTTATATCCTGTTATTGTTCTAGTACATAGTAATAAGAATCAAAACACACGCATAATACATAGGTGGGACACACTAAATAAAAGCTTCTTAGTAGATGTATCAATGTACTTTGTATGACATTCGGAATGCCAAGGCTCCGTTCGCCACAGTAACACCGAACAATAGATTTTCGACTTCATTCTGTCTTATTCATTTGTGAACCCAACAGGTGATAGGAACTTATAAATATCTATCGTGAGCAATTCGTGATACCCAACTCCTATTCACGTTTGAAAAATAGAATATGGAAAGTACTTTATATTAGCTACTATTACATGGAATAGCAAAAAAGAATATCTTTGTTTTGATATGTATCGTATAAAAGTGTAACGGCGCAGGTAAGGCAGGTTGGATCTGTTTCGGTCGTAGGATCACTCAGAGGCATATAGGAGTTGTAACGGGCTGAACGCCCTTTGGATAGCTCCTCGATGGAATCTCGGGCCAAGCTGCGCGCGCACCATCTGAACTACGTTCAGACCGAGCAGCGCTCAGACAACGCGCTCAGATACTCCGGCATAACCTTTCTCCGATAAGTAAATAAACACCACGTAAGCAGAGTAGATAACGTGTTTTATCAGTAAGCGGCCCAATCAGTAAGTGGCCCACCCCACCAAACCTGACGCGATACTCTCCACAACC